TAAAGCACAACACTCGTGACATTTCTTTTTTGTCCTTTTCGTAGCTAAGACAATTTGCTGGCCCTTATAAACTTTTCAACGCATACCATCATAAACACACACACAGCCATCCAGCGTGCAATCAAACATAAGTAAATTCGTAAAAAAAAAACTTTTTAAAGCGCAGACATAAAAAGTTATTTATTCGGAAAAGTTGAGAGCGTTTTATATGCAATCACAACGCGTTTAGAATCCACGTTATGCACGTAGAGCAGTAAAATAAAATAAAAACAAGAGGAAGAAGTTGAGGTGGAAAAAAATCACATGAAGAACGGAACCGGAAGGTGACCACAATCAACGTGCCCCATTTCCGGGCAATCACACCTTATTCCGGTTTCGTTCGCTTCCTTGCTAAGCGGTGTTCCGTCGTTCACGCGCAGCTTACGTTACTTTTTCAGCGCGCACGCGTGTGTGGCTAAGCACCGTGCGACGACGCAGTGGCTTTTTTTTGGGTGCGATGCTTTGGCATGAAATTAATAACTAATTGATGGTCAATGCGTGCTTGGACGCGTGTCGCGACACGTGTAATTTTTTTAAACGCTACACAGCGTTACTAATTATTTAAAATTTGACAGGAAGACATGTTTTTCTTGTTGTCATTTCCTCAAGACTTACCTAAGTACTTACAAATTAATCTCAGGTGTATGTTGTTACAATTTTCAAGTCCATAGTCTCAACGTTTAATGAATTTTTTCCTTTGTGTTTGATAATGTGGCTCAGATGTTGTTCGGTTGGCTAATTGTGATTTTCCCTGTATTGTATTGTTACCGCGGTTTCGATTAGCACCATACACCTAGCTCGGAGCTCTGCTCTCGAAGATCAGAATTCAGGATGCATCAACTCTCGTGCCCCGTGCGTGAATGCGTTGCTATACTCAAGGTCCGATCTGCGTGAGATATGCGTCCATTGTGTCTTTACCCCTTGGCGCTTGAGAACCGTGGGTTTCCTTCCGCATCCGCCGTCTTCTCGTATACAATAAGTGTATCACCAGCGCGCCTGTAACAAACCAATCTGAAGTGGTCTCGGAGTGAATGCATGAAGGTGAGCGCTGCGTATTAAGAAGAACAAAACAGCGTGCGATTAATGAAGCGACCGGCATAAATCAACCGAGCACAAATTCTCATACGGGCCCTCGAATTAGCATGTGAACTGTTTTACTTGTACTTACTTGCAAAGCAAATTTAAGAAAAAATTTTTTGCTGTTTGCTTAATTTAAAAGTCATTATAGACACATCGATGCATGACAATAAGTAAATTTACTTTATATTATCCGATATAAAGACAAACACACAATGTACACGCTACAAATGCGTTATAAATTGTCGACAATTCGTTTTTAGCATCGCAATCGCTCGGATCGGATCGATTTAAATGGTGCAATAAAAAGTTCTTGGGTGCGGAGGCAACAAAACAAAACGCGAATGTAAGCCGCCTTATTTATTAAATCAATATCCGTATCGCGGGAGCATATCGGTGCAAGGCGTTAGCGTTTATCTACGAAATTTACCGCAACTTCATTTGCACCTTTATTGCACTTTGGGCGCACTTTAGATTTTAATTTTGTTTGATAAATCGCTAGTCGGCGAAACGTAATGCTGAAGTGTTATCACTTGTAAAATCGGCTGGGTTGGTTTATACGTTTGCTTGTCGTGATATTGGCAATAGCAATGTTTGAATAAATTATGTCTATTTGCGGTCGAATCATGAGCGTGTTTAGGTATTAATAACGTCGCGAGAAACCCTCGTTTGATTCCACGCAGTCGCTGCATCTCCTGCAGGCGGCAGAGTACCTCTCGAGCAGTCTGGTCTTTTGTCTTTTGCACCCTTCTAAGATAGGGGCGAGACGCCTACGTGCTTGCCACGCCGAGGAAGCCACTCCGTCATTAGGAAACCTGCGACTTGCGTGTATCGTGCGCGCCCTTGAAAAAGTATACGAAAAACCCCTGGAAAGGAAGAAATGCGAAATACGCAATGTACAAAATAGGCTTTTATGCAACCACACTCACACACATGCATACAAAGTTGAGTTTAGTTGCTCCCCAATGAGGAAAACGCACCGCACGTCTTGTTTGTAACTTCGTCTGCGCCTGAATCTGTGAATGTTATACGAGTCTCCTTGCGTTAGGAAGCACAAGGCATGAGAAAATCACGCACTAAAGGAAAGGAAGCGGGTCGTAATGAGGAAGCACGATTATAAAAAGAGCGCGCGCTTGCGACTTAGATAAGATACCGGACAAGTTAATCACGTTCGGCGGCGCGCGCGCCGCCGCGTATTGTGTCGCGGGTCGCCTAATTGCTTCGCACAACATTCGTCTCTTTAAAGAGGCCAAATCGTAGCGCGAACGCAAAGTGCACCATCGCGACATTTAGTCGTCCCCCTCACTGCTAAATGCACAAACTTCCTCCTCACATGCGGCGCACAGTCCGGTTAACAGATAGGTGATTAAATCGTATTTATCGTCGGGCTTTTGTGTCACGTCATCAATTCATCACATTGGATCAGTCGGCTTCATAATCACAAGAATCATAATTTTTTGTTTTCTAATTTTGGGCCCGCAACTAATGAGCAATTAGTAAAATTTGCCAAATTCACCAATTTGCCCACCGAAATTAAGCCATTCGAGCGACTAATTACAATCAGCCAAAAATGCGTGTAATTGTCGTCGAAAAAATATGCCTGTAATGAATCTACTACAAAACGTCAACACTGACGTCTTTAAATAACATATCGCTGGCTGGCGATACAACGCCGACCAGACAGGATGTGTTCAGTTAGGGACGATGTAAGCAATGTGACGCTAAGTCATCACTTAAACGACTAATTAGATCATAACGCGTACGCTATTTACGATGAGACTTTAACATGTCACATTTGTCAACACATCAAGTACCTACTTGAAGAGTAACACTACGTACAATATCATTATATTTATTAAATTGTAAGCAAAATATAAATTTTCTTACTTAAAAAATTTACCAAGTTAACAGTTGGGTTTAGAATTAAAGTAAAGTTAATTAGATATGCATTGTCTAACCGAAATGTGTGCTATTATAAAAACCATATGGTTACACGCGACATATGCTTATGTTTCCTTAGTTATTTCGCTTTTGTTTCCGATTCGTACCGATACGACACACGAAACATGAAAATGAAAAAAAAAACGCATTCCATATTGTTCAGGTGTGTTTGCTGCCTACTAAGATAGAGAGATGCGTTTCCGGCACTGGTCAGCGCCTCATCAAAAAGTAGATCGTGTGTGTTGTGTGTCGGCCGGTAGTTACTTCCGTTCCGGCGCGGTCATGCGAGCCGAACACCACCGCGAGCGGCGACGTCGTCGCCTGAAAAGGAACTTTATTGTTTCCCACACATGCATTCGCCGGTGCGATACTCTTAATGAATAAGATTAACATATTGTTCACGGCGTTTCAGGCGTCGTCTGTCATGCGCTTCGTGCTTTATGATAAATAAAATGTAAAGGAGTGCATCCGGTGTGAGAATTTTTTTTATTCGCAAAATTCTCATAAAATGATTTCGGAAATACTGAAAAATGCTGATATACCTAAAAGGGGAGATGTTGATGTTTTTACCTGAAAGACGTTATTTTCGGATGATTTGCAGAAGAAGTTGAGGATAATACCGGCAACCCTAAGATGTGTACGATTCCCACGATATGTTTCTTAAAGGAGGGACTCGCTCGAATGCAAATCTAATTTTTCAAGCTTCTATTGTTAAGGGTCTTCTCTGGAAACTCAGAAACACATTCTAAGTTTCTTATATGTTTACTATAGGAGTTAGTAAAGTAAAACACTCAACATATTTGTAGAATAATCAAATCCGACGTAATATAAAACTTGTAGGTGTATGAAGCTTGTTTTCGGAAAGCGTCGGCAATATTGATATGCGTGATAAGTGAGTTTGCGTGTGTATACGCAATGCGAATCGAACGAAGTGCACGCCCCGCGATAAGAGTCTAATTTCATTTCGTCGATAAGACAGTGCGCGGGCATTACCGACAGATGGTAATTTATTGGTGAGAATTACACTTCCTATGCGCGTACACATCGCTCAAGTGGTGCGGCCATATGGCTGCGTTCAATAAATGTTTTCGGAACAGATAAGAAGATACGCATATCTAATTGGAATATTAACGCCGCTTAATAAGACTTTTGTATTCTTTGTTGTTGTGTTTTTCTTTTGGTGCCTCGAGGTTAAGAAAAATGAGTGGAAATTCAACTAATGATGAGTTAATTAGTCGGCCAATTTCACTTTGTACATTTATCCCGAGGAATGATGAAAATGCGGCGTCCGTCTTCAAGTTTTTTTCGCGTTTGTGAATTTAAAAGTTAAAAGAAGCAGTTTCCTTTTTGAAGATGCAAACAAACGGGGGCGCTTCGTGGAGTTGCGAGCGCAATCTGAAAGAGATTGGATTTGCAAGCGCGCAAAAAAAAAGCGTCCGTTTTCTTCTCGCCCTTTGCGTATTTAATTAGAACTGTAGCTGGTTAGGCATCATTACAATAAGAATGCCTACGTCCGTATCTCTCTGGATAGCGACATATTACTCACCGCCACAGTGCGTTAATATGCGCCAAGTTTTATGCTAATATTTCTGCGTGCGGTTTGGTGTGTGTGTGGACGCAAAGTAGTTGCTTCCTTTTGGCTGTGTATGCGTGAGTGTGTGTTTTGAGTGCGCGTTTGTGTGGGCCGCATATGTAAGCGCACTCGTGCGACGCGAGTACTCCGACCGGCCGCCGCAGATCAACAGTTGTGCCCGTTTGCAATGTGGAGCCGCAGGTGTTCTTAGCTCTCTCGTGCTTCTTCCCCTCTTGCTTGCGCACGCTTTCCTTTAGGGCGCTGGGTTTCGGCCCGGTGCTGTTGCTGTTGTTGCATGTGTGTGCCGTGTGAGTAGGAGAGGAGACCGACCCGACCGGATGTAAAGAATACGTTTTTCCGTTTGCTTCAGGTATTGACATGGGCGACTATTCTTAAGTGGGGGCCACCGCAAAATTCATCTGCCTGGGGCTGCGTAGAGGGGGAACCGGTACGACCAATAACGCTTTAACTTATAATGTCATCGGAGGAGGAGACAGAGTTCGGTTTGTACACAGATAAACTCCTGAAGAAAAGCAAAAGAACCAGACAGCGCGTGGACGCCGGCGAGCCACGCAATAGCTACTCGTCGATACCGAACTTCAGTTCGCGGCCGACCTTCCTCGGCAACGGTAATAGTTTGTACGGCGCGATCTTCACGCAACATCAACAGTTCGGTCTTTTCGGACCGGGTTTCGCGCCGGCGAAAATGTTAAACGAACTGCTCGGCAGACAAAAGGCGCCGGCTTCGACAACGCCGGTGTCACAAGTGGGCCCAGTGGTGGATGGCAACAACACAGAGAGCGAGGATTCGGTGAAGTTCGACGCGGTGATACGGTGCGGTGGCGGTGGTGTTGGTGGCGGTCTAACGGACGGCGGCGGGAGTCCGCCTTCGGGCGAACAGCTCGCTCACCACATGCTGCGCGATATCCTTCAGGGGCGCAAGCACGAATTCCTCGCGCTGGAGCACGACCTGCGCAACGGCGCACAGGATCACAACATCATGAATAACAATAACAACGAACCGAACAAGGCAGACACCGACCGCAGCCAGGACGCCGCGGATGCTGCGGCTGTGGTTGCGATGAAGGAATGCCTAGTGGAGGCGGGTGTCGTGGGCGAGCGCCAGCAGGCGGAGCTGATGGAGGAGGCGCTCAACGGCATGGAGACGGAATCGTTGCCGTCGCCGAAAGTGGAGCCGTCCAGCCCCGCTAAGCCAGAGGATGCGAAGAAGGCGCGCGTGGAAAATATTGTCTCAGGTATGCGCTCCAGCCCAGCGCCGCAGCAGGTAAACGGTTGCAAAAAGCGCAAACTCTACCAGCCACAGCAACACGATAGCAATGCTGACCGATACATCGATGACGAAGAGGAGCTTATGATGGAAGAACCCATCCGGCAGAAGCGCGTTGAGAAGAACGCTCTTAAGTCGCAGCTGCGCACAATGCAGGAACAGCTCGCCGAGATGCAGCAGAAGTACGTGCAGCTGTGTACCCGCATGGACCAGGGATCAGAAGAGAGTCAGGAGATCGAGGAGTTACCTAGCGATAGTGAGCAGAGCAAAAGATCGGCGCCCGCGTCGCCAGTGCCGTCAGTAACGACGCCAACCACGACGCAGCCGCCAACGTTGGCGCAGCAGGTGAGCAAATTGAAGATTAGTCCTCCGGGTGGCCGGCCGTTTCACAACGGTCTGCTGCATGAAAACCCACACCTTAGCAATGCCGCCGCCATGTATTTGGGCGTTAGTCACAAACTGATGCTGGAGCAAGAGGCACGTATGGTCAAGGAGGCGGCAGCCGCCGCTTCAATGGCCGAGTCGCAGTCTCATGCCAGCCAACAAGTTCCTCATCCGACCAACAACCACCACCACAGCCACCATCATCAACAGCCGCATCATCCGCATCACCATTCGCAGAAACCCGAGAACTTTGCTGATCGGCTATCAATGATGCGCAACATGACGACACCCACTGGAACCGACCTCGAGGGCCTCGCTGATGCTCTCAAATCCGAGATTACCGCTTCCTTGTCGAATCTCATCGATTCGATTGTGACCCGCTTCCTGCATCAGAGACGGTGCAAGAACGACGCGGCCGCCTCGGCGGAGCAGCTCAACAAGGATCTGCTCATGGCGTCTCAGCTGCTCGACCGCAAATCTCCCCGGACCAAGGTAGCCGAACGGCCCAGCGCACCTCCACCATCATCCGCAAATCCTTCAATCGGTGTGGGCGGCGGAGGTAACCCCCATACCGGGAGCATCAGTGGCAGCAACACACAAATGGTAAATGGAAATGGCCCATGCCATCCGATGATGCCTGCGCATCATCATCACATGAATAACATGCACTCCAAACAAACGAGCGATTTGCATATAAGGCCTCCGATGTTTCAGCCGCCCAAGCCGCCGGGCATTAGCCAAGCAGCGCTGTACGCGATGAACCATCCTTTCTGCGTTGCCAAGCAGGAGAACAGCCCCGAGCAGAACGAGGCCCTCAGTCTGGTCGTGGCGCCCAAGAAGAAGCGGCATAAGGTAACCGATACGCGCATTACGCCGCGCACGGTCAGCCGCATTCTCGGCCAGGACGGCATGGGTATGTCTCCGGCGTCGATGGAGCCGAATTCGTGCCCGTCTCCGAGGCCGCCACCACCCTACCATCAACCGCCTCCCATGCTGCCCGTTTCGCTGCCCACCTCAGTGGCCATCCCCAATCCGGGTCTGCACGAATCTCAGGTTTTCTCACCATACAGCCCGTTCTTCCACGGACCGAGCCATGGACACCACATGGCCATGCAGGTACGTCGCGCTCTTTGTTTGTTTGATCTTAATTCTGTACAAATCGTTTTTGTGAACCTTGTGTGAACAGTTACATGGTTATTTGCAACAGGCGTCGTCCTCGCCGCCACGCATGCATAAGATAGAGCGTGATTCGCCGCCGCTGCATCATCCTCCGACGTTACTTCATCCGGCTCTCCTCGCCGCCGCCCAGCACGGCGGATCGCCCGACTACGGCCACATACGCGGCCCCAACGGTGGTATGAGCATGGACGCCGACCGAAACTCCGACTGCAACTCCGGGGACATCTCGTACGACGGAATGCAGCCTACAATATCCTTTTTATACAAAAATAACATTCACGCATCAACACCAATCTTAGCAAACCGTCAAGTCGTTCACTCTACTTTTATTTCATTAATCCGATATAAAAAGGGAACTTGCGGGTTTTCATCAGATCGCTTGAGGTCAAATTCTGTGTCTAACCTTTAAGTCATCGTCGAAACCTTAGATGCGCGCGCTTAAATCCGATTTAAATCAATTTCTACGCCGCGCTGTCCTAGATTACAGACGGAAAATATACCGCGATAAGACGTTTCGATTTCCACGCCAGCCAGTTCAATTTTCCCACCAACATCTACGTAAATAATTAATAACACGAAAGTGTACAGAAAGAAGTCGCGTGCATTATTAATGAATCTGCAGATATATCGTTTTTTATGCGCACTAGACGCGGGTAGATTGAGTCATGAAGGATAGGAAAATAAAGTAACAAAGTAACGAATACCTATCATTAGGTTCGTAACTTTCTGGACACGTTCGACCAACCCAGCATACATATTTAACTCGTTCTTCTTAGCCTTTCTGCGGAACACCTTGTGAGAATAGCGCACGTGACGTAGTGAAGATTACACGATAACTTTGCGAATTTTAAACTTTCATATTACAATCCAGATCAGTTGATTCGCATTGCTAATTTGATCAATTATAGGAAAAAGGAAATTGCCCTCCTTTGCTAACGTTTGCTAATAATCTTGGTGTTGCATTATTATTCATGTACAGCTGACGTTCTTTTTTTCTACGATTATAACTGACATATTTGTGCTGATATTTCCTTAATTCCTGTGAACTCGTCGACTCTGACGCCGATGCATCTGCGAAAAGCCAAGCTGATGTTCTTCTGGGTGCGCTACCCCAGCTCGGCGGTGCTCAAGATGTACTTCCCGGACATTAAGTTTAACAAAAACAACACTGCCCAGCTGGTCAAGTGGTTCTCCAATTTTAGGTGAGTGCTATTATGTTTTTTTATATATTTTTTAATTGCATACAACAGAAACGGAAAGAACAATTGCTATTTTACGATTATCTCATTTGCACATCGTCGGGAGAAAACACGCGGAAAATAATTTTGTTTCTCCGCCGCGTGCGCACACTGAAAAAGCTGTATGTACCATTTTCGCCGGAAGGCTTGTTGTGCATGCGAAGCATATGTGACCGCGCTGCTTGTTGGCAGCAAAATGCAAACTACCTCGGCACAACAAAGCAGTTTTCCACGGCGGGCATTTGAGTGCATGTGCGTGTGTGCACGGTTTCATTTGCGAATAGTTACCTCGTACGCTCGTTTTTTTTTTCAAATGAAAACTGCCGGAAAAGTCTTTTTTATTGCCTTCCTCGGCGCGCGCGCGCGCGCCTCCTGTGCACCTACGCAGCAATCCGCTTCTCATCCCGGCAAGTAAAAGTTGAAAAACGATGCCGGAATACAAACACTCACATACACACATCGTGATCGACTGCAACACTAGAGCTCAGCTCTAATCTGAAGCGCAAAAAAGTTGTGCAGGTTTTCGTCATTGACCACACTGTGTGTAATGCACACATCGGTGTTGCAGTGCTTCGATGAACTTGGGAAATGAGGGAATTTAAATTCGCATGTTTGTCGTGTGTTTTGTTGTGCGACAACGTTTTGTGCAAACAAACCGCGTTGCTTCTCCGCTCGACAATCCGCGAGGCGCGTCGTGTCCAGATGATTGAATTTGTTACGCCCGCAAAATGCACACATCGGGGTAATTCAACACAGACCAAATCAAACAAATTACTAACTATTCATTATACTTTTTTCCCGGGCTCAAATTGGTTGCGTTAAATTTAAATCTGTCAAATAAATATATTTCGAGTCTGGAAAAACTAACAAGATGATATGTAGATGTAAACAAACAAAAAAAATTCTTAATTAATTTTTTTAATTTAAAGAGGCATGCGCGTTTAAAGGTCGCTTTTGCCGTTCTTTTGCTTCGCGTATGAAAATTTACCGGAGAAGCAAATTGCATAATGACTAATTTCATAATTTCCCTATCCCACACACCAGATTTTCTGTATGTGTGGACGACGTGCGCGAATGTGCGACCATCAAAGTTAATTAGATAGACGGGGGCGGCGGCGTTATAGCGCGGGCGCACACACGAAGAAGAAAAACGCGAGCCCACGGGGCGAGCTCGACGTAAAAGAAAAAGGAGTGCACGAGCCGCTCGGCGTCGTTGGTCTCGCACGCTTTTCGCAGATGAAAAAGAAAAAAGAAAAAAACACACGCGGGAACGCCGGGCAGAAGGGAAGAAAAATAAAAACGCCAACTCTACTAATTAGTCTCAAGACCTTAATTAAGTTATTTTTAATTGAGCAGCGGCGTGTATGTGCGCCGCTGTGATGGCGGAACCGGCAGCATTGGCGGCGGCCACGACCTTAGACCTCAGAGATCTGCCGCTCCGGGCGCAGAAGTCTTTGAAAATTACCAACCAGACATTTCACTTTTCTACTCTTTTAATTCTTTCGCATCTTTCGCTGAGTGAAAAGCTTTGCAAGATCAGATGCAACTTAATTAATCTTATATTTGTAATTATAATTCACGTGCGCCTGCGTTGCTCGTCATTTTATCTAGGATTGTTCGCCGTGGTGATTACCGGACATTACTATGTAATTAATTAATGATATAATCTGTGTATAGCTGTGTGCGATATGCATAGAGGGAGCGAAATTCAGTGTGGTGAATGGAGGGAAACGAAACAAGCACTCAAAACGGCTTATTTCCGATTACAATTAGAATTACAATTTACAAATTTGGTTCGCGCACGTTATAAACGTTTTTACGCGTTTCCAACGTTTTAAAATTTTATTTTTTGCAAAAATTTTTATATTTCCCCATATATGGGAATGAAATAAATGATTCCACAAAATTATAGCACCAGGGGTGCCGTATGGCTCCCAGTGAGGGTCGTATCGAGCAATAAGTATTAGAAAACTAGTTGTAACGGTTTTTCGATGCAAGTCGATTGAACATCTGTCCCCTGTGCGCTTCGCGCGTTCCTTACCGTAATCGCCGCACGTCGTCATCCGTCAACGAGTACAGCAAGTACGCGAGGGTTCACGCATTGTTCAAACACAACCATCATATGTGTGTATGTGTGTGTGTGTGTTCTATACTTTACACACACCGCACGCTAGACAGACCCTCGCTCGTAATGAGAACTTATCTTGGTAAATCAAAATCTCTTATTTCAAACTTACTGCGCACACACATTCTAATCATCATATTATGTGCTTTGCTTGATTTATGTTGAATTTTCCGCGGCACATGCCAACACAAAATATGTAATCGCATCGCGGAAGTTGAAAGTGGCTAGCAAAGATGTGATAATTCTTGACTTGTTCGACTCGTGACAGTTACTTCCTTTCGTCGGCTTTATCGCTGCAAACCCGCACATAAATACGTATTATCGTCTCCGCCCGTGCTGCGTCAACTAGTCATTTAAGAAAGTTATTAAAATTTGTGTTAAAAGTTTAAACTCAAACTCAATAACTCAATATTGTAATACTTTTTTCGGGTCTTGGTCGTTTTTATTTTATTTTTCGTTTGTACAGCTTTCTTTTTATCGTCTTATAAGCAGTAAAAGGAAAAGCATTCAATTCATTTTAGAGGCACGTGTAAAACGATACAATGAAGCACGCGTTCCTTACGCGTACAATAAAACACAATGCATGGCAAACGTCTTGAAGACGTTCGGGGAACTACGAAGGGGACGTGATACATGAAAAACGCTCATAAAAACACGCTGCGAGAGACTTGTGGACTTTTGAGGAGGGCAAATCAAAAAGCAGATGTGAATCTTTTGTCATGCGCGCGTAACGTCTCCAAGAAGTTCGTTGCGATCGCATACGGCACCGGGAAGCCGCAAAGAAAGCGCCAAGACGCTCCCCTTCGTGTGACCCTTCGTATTTACATTATTTCGGCAGCAATGACGGTTTGCCCATTTGCAAACTCGCGCGCGCACTAGGACCTAATCTATTGCTGCGCGTACCTGGTTTCACCTTGGCGCTCAATTCAAGGGTTGACTTGCTGATGTGAATATGCTTGGGAACCGCCTTGTTGGTCGCTTCCGAAGGGAAAAGTTACAACTTGCCACACAGCAAGAGTAAGAAAGGGCATTTCTTTGCCGATTTTCACATTTGCTTGTGCTATACATACCAAATCGAGGGTGCAGTGAACTACATGCCGGCTAGAAACTTGTGAATTTTAATTTTAACGGCAGGTGGTACAAGATTATACGTGTACGGTGTGTGCGTTACCTTTGCGACTTACTCGGCGACTCTCTCTTTGTATTTTGTAAGTCGTCGCTGGCACGACGTGCATGCACAATGCGTATGCGGGCTTGAACTCAAACCAGGTTAAAAAGAAATTCGCTCGATTTACAAGTTGTTCCAATTTTTCGGTGGATACAAATCGCCATGAGCAACAGTTGATAAGTAAATAATTTACCAGTTCTAATACGGTATTAATTATGTACGGCCAATTGGCCTATAATTGGTATTTGGGCATACAGGCGTGTGCGAGCGGGCCGGGGTATGACGTGACACCGCAAACGGCGATGCTTCGTGTGTTGTGTGTTGCCGGCTCAATATTGATAGGCGATCGAAAACGCGCACGCAAATGCAGTGTTTAACTCTCTGATCAAGCGACCGGCCGCAAATTATGACAATTACAATTAAATTATATAATTGCGTAATAAAATATCAATTAATAATGCACGCGCTTAATGACTTCACTTTCGATTTCAGCGCGCGCTGCATTACCGATATCGAAATCGAAACTATCCGCAAAACAAATTAATCCAGAGCGACACATGTCGAGTCGTGGTTTGATTTCGTACCGAACAACATACACAACATACAGAAATGCATCTTGTTAGTTGGTGAATTAGTGATGTGCCACGTTGAGTGTCGAGTTTTCTCGCATCGACGACCCGTGACGATTAACAGCTGACGGCTGATTCAACGAGTTAAAGTTGACACGAATCCGCGTACGCTCTTACACCATTTTTTTTTCTCTCGCGCGCGTTGTGTTTCTTCGCAATTCGATTCGTTAATTGCCACTTGCGTACTCCACGTGCTCGACTAGTACGGTGTTGCTGCTGTACGGTGTTTATCGATGTAGACGCAATTACGATACGTTGTCGCGTACGCGTTCGTTGCACGTTGTTCACCTCGAGCGTCGTGATTCGTTCGCGAAGTTACTCCGGGCAGAAGTGCGCCACTCAAAATTAGCAGTTGTTCTTTCCGTTGCGCTACGTCTACGGTAATGCAATTACGCAACGCTGCCTTTTTGCGCGCGTTCGCTTCCATCTATGATTGTTGTTATTTATTCGGTTTTTGTTTTTTCTGCCGCAGGGAGTTCTACTACATCCAAATGGAGAAGTACGCCAGGCAAGCAGTGTCGGAGGGCGCGAAGAACGCCGACGACTTACACGTCGGTGGAGACTCTGAATTGTACCGCGTGCTCAATCTGCACTACAACAGAAATAATCACATCGAGGTATGGGGCCCACAGGTTCGTGGCTTCCTTTTCCATTGCGAAAGGACCATGGCAATTATTACAATCCCACTCTTATTCTCGCCTAACAAACCGTACATTCGTTTAATTAACACATCCAAACAACACCAGACACCACCGCATGTCAGTTTATATCTAACAAAATCAACGTACAATAAGATTGGGGATGTATAATCATGCCTTGAATGTTGTAACACGTTGCATCTTAATGTATTTCTTCTGTCCTGTCTTGTCTTGTCTTATAATATTATATTTATGGTTGGCAAATGAAACTAATAATTTGAATGTTTAAAGGTGCCGTCAAATTTCCGCTTTGTTGTGGAGCAAACGTTGCGCGAATTCTTTAAGGCGATCCAGGAAGGCAGGGATACGGAACAATCGTGGAAGAAGTCGATATACAAGATCATCTCACGAATGGACGATCCAGTGCCCGAGTACTTCAAATCGCCCAACTTCCTGGAGCAGCTCGAGTGACCGGCGCCGGCCGGCATGCATTGCACGGAGGCGCTGCCCAACGGTAACGATATCGCCATTTGGTAACGCGCGTTACCAATCCACACACACACACACGAACACACATCAACTGCAACAGGGAAAAAGAAGCCACCAACAACACGAAAAACATAAGGTATCGTCATCGTTGGCTAACAACGCATCGCGCAACTAATTATTAACATATTTAGAAATAACAAACAACAAAATGATAACTGAAGATCACACACATAACAAAGCGGCGGCGGCTTGTAACCAGAGCTACATGCCGCCATGACCGCCATCGCTTAACATAATATTATTGAGAATGAAAAAATCCAACGAATCGGTGACGCATGGTGCGTAAGTTTATTAAAAATTTAAATTAAAAATGAAAAAGAAGCAAAAAAATGAAGCTGTCAACGTTTTATTGTTTATATATAATAATATTAATATAATATATATTAGAAAGAGTGAAAATGAGTAAAAGAAAGAGAGTACTAAAATGATATTTGGAGAAAGCCGTTCTGAATCGCGATGGGCAACGCTGTGCGCGTTTGTTCCGGGCGATTTCAGCGGTGTTGTTGAAAATTGTGTTAGGTTGACAGTTTGATTGCGTACGAAAATTGCACAAAACTAAGCAGAAGTGAAGCATAACAATTGATGCAAGAAACAAGTAATAAATAACAAAAAGACTATTGTTAATTACTAAATATCTCCGCCTCAGGCTAAAGCGTTCGTCGCGACGAACAGTGAATTACAAAATTAAGGTGAAAACAAAACAAAAAAAAAAAACAAGAAAAGCGTGAACTAAACGAATAATTATAAATATAATCAATCATGTCGCGCGCACGCACGCGCGATCGATTATAAAATAGTTAATCATTGAATCATTTTACCTGATATCTTATTATAAATAATTACTAAATAACCGGATATTTAAAAATTTATATCGGACGAGAAAACGGGAAAAGCTAACCAAGTATTTATTATTCATAATTGCATTAATTGATAATTACGGAGCTAAAACGAGGTGAAGATGGGATAAAATAGATACAAACATTTGTTTTTGTACGTAAGCGAGCTATCAGATACGGTCAAAGTACAATCTGCACGATTACGTTGTGTCTATTTTCTCTTTAGTTGGATTCTTTGTTTCATTTTTAACGGAACTCTCCACATCAAATATTTGTGTTTCCGATTCGATACACTTTCGCGATGGGACAGCAAAGAGCACCGCCATGTCAATCAGGACATGCATGTACATACAAGTGTATATATTATTACTTAGTTAATAGCCTAATTTATATTGAAGTATTATTTGTACCACGATTAATTAACCAAAGTTGATTATTACACAGCTAGTCCATTTGCGCTCGAATGTCTCCATTTCATGAATCGATAATGATTGCGTTTTGGGGACATTCGATCTGTAAAGTCACCTTGCGTGGATAGCACCACGCATGTCTTACTCTTTTTGAGTGAGACATGCGTTGTCCTGCTGCGTATGCGTACTTGCCCACACGATTCGAATCAGATTCGATCGATGTTTTTATATTATACGTTGTATTACGTTGGCATGCCCTTTATGTTAAGTTATTTATGTTTATTTTGTACATTTCCACATTCTAATATTGTATTTTTATTGTAGTAAAAGAAAAAAAGGCTAGTTGCTAATTAGTTTAATCGGGATGCCTGCATAATATATGTTTTTAGTTAATTTTAAGTTAATCTTACGTTCACGAGCACTGTTTTATTTTATTTTCGGAAAGGAGCGGCCATTGTAGTCCACCTTTGTACACCGTGTGAGGCAACTAGTCAATTATTTAATTTAAATGGAAAAAAACATCATCACGTACAATCATGAATGAAAATATAATTGATTTTATTTTATTTTTTTATTATGTGCCGTTATGTCCTTGTCCTTGTTATGTTTTATGTTTATGTTTGGGTATGTTACTTTGTTGTACCAGTATGTTACTGCAAATCGGATGCAACCATCGCGAATCTTATTGTAAAGAAACACTTCAGAACGGTTTAATTTCGAATGCAATAGTGAAATGAACCTCAATGTTTCATGCGCGTGTGTGATTGGCAAAACTAGCGTTCTTGCAGTTTTTCACGACCGGTCCACAACCGGACCGGGCGCAAATTGTGATTTTCCTGTTCCTAAAACAAAAAAAACAACACTATTAAAATTACGAGACGAATGCCACAAACCTGTGCGCATTGCGAGTTGCATACTAACTGCCGAAATTATAAGACTGCCATTCATTTACGAATAAATTCGATTTTGAGTTACGTCGCTTCGTGAGCACTTCGGTTGCGTTATCAAAATTAATGTGTTTGGATTTCTGAAGATCTTTTCGTTGCGTTTCCGTTTTGCAATGCACGCCATGTTTGCCAATTTCACATGATGTTATCAGCGGTGAGCGTACACTTCAAATCACTTTTAAAAGAAATATACTTAATAAAAATACAGTTAATCAAAGTAAAATACATATTACGGTGGTGTAAATAATATGAATTAAGCTTTTCTCAAAATGCAATAGGTACTTGCGTGTGAAATACGTCAGCATGTAGTTGATATAGCATTTTGCACATATTGGATGTTAATTTTACGAAATAATACTGATAGTCTTTTTCACTGTGTGCGCACCGCCTGATTAACTTATTAAGTTGGAACACTGAGGTATATTAACGCTATAATCACATCAATATTATGATTACAAAAAATGGAAGTACTTAAAAAAAGTTAGCAGCAGATTAATACAGAAGCAGCATAACTCCTTGCAGATTAAACTTGGCTATAAAATAGGTTTTTTAGTAATAATAACTGAGAAGTCAGCAGCAACGCCCACGTGTCACAAATTACAGAATAATCTCAATAGTTTACGGATATAACTCTCGGCAATAGATAACGCATTCATGCAGGCACCGGTCACATTAAACCAGAACTACAATAACGGATAATCATCAACTTATGACTCAACTGAAACAATAGATAACAATAATCAATGACAGAACTAAACAGTATAAAAACAGTATCAAGTGATTGTTGCATTTGTTTCATGTATGAAAACTCCAAAAGGTTTTTTTAACATGAGATGTTGCAACAATTCCTAAACACTTCTTAATTATTATTATAATAATTAATCTGTGCAACAGACACACACAAGACCTCAAAAATATACGGTTGGTTTTGACAATTCACAATCGATAAACAATTTTTCCGAGTAAACGAAACAGTTTATCACAATTATCGCCGCGCTAATAACAATAGAACACAGAAAATACAAAAAACCGACTTATAATTATCGTAACATAGACAAACAAGAGAATAAATAAACCAAATATACCCCGAGAAACAGATAGGCGCGGGACAAGCCCGCACCGTCTCAGCAAACTAAACAGGATACAATTATTAATTGATTCACATCAGATTGATTGATCACAGATCGATTAGAGGACTACCACCGGCGTGTCGCGTTTAAGTTCTAATATGAGAAAACGAACCGAAAAGTCAAAATATTAATGGCGCACGCACGGTGCACAACCTGTCAAGCGCAGCGGCAAATTGTCGAAATGTATAGCATTTTATCACAATGCGACAATTTGCTAGAAGTATGCGACCACAGATGAATTCAGAAAATGTCCGCCTAGGCGTGTCGGAGATGGCCGCCTAGCGGATAGCGGAGGAATTACATTGCTTTCTGGATGAGACTGTAAGAAGTAATTTTTGAGGTCAATCCGAGCAGATTCCGACCCTGTTTTATTGAAAGCAGGGTTCAAGCAACAGTATAGGCGTAAATCAGTAGACCCCCCCAAAACTAACATACAAGCTCCCCCTACACACGCCGCCACTGCAGCAGGCACCACACATGGATAAGTACATGGTTTTTGGGTCCGTTTCTTGAATAATCGCCACCCACAATGTTTACACATTCACACCCATTAATATAATTAGTATTTACCCATTTTCGAGACTAATAATGCAATGTTTAATGTAAGTTTTTCATTTCTTTCTCTATTCCCGAGACCGACCGTAATCGGTGATATTTCTCGAACACATTGTATATCGTATCGTAAGAGACAAACAACATTTTGGCCGTTTTTTCATGACATAATGACAAGTATGTATTCTATTCAACGAAGTTATATCAGTTCTAACGTCACAATTTTCGGTTGTGCTTTTGCGTTTTGCAACAAGTTTGGTTTTAAATATGCACACACATTCGGTAAAATAACACGACGCACGCACACCGCGCTTGCGCATGCGCAGCTCACCAGTGCCGCACATGCGCCCCATTCTTGCCCGGCATTGAGCGTGCGGCGTGTTGTCGTTTTCTACAGGGCGACTTCGAACTACAAGTCGTCGCGATATTTTGCAGGTTTGAAAAAATAATAACAATTCAATCAACAACTCTCAACATGTCGACACGAAAAGCAAGTGAGGAACTTATTCAACTCAGAACACTAAAAATGGCAAATGCGTTTTGAAACACTGTTCGGATTAAAGCTAAAATAAACGTTTAGGTCACCGGTTCAAAAACGATTTGATGAAAAACGATGAAACAAAAATGAGCAAAAAAATATCACGAAAAAAGTACAAGCTTATTTTAAGCACCTCTGCGCCTTAAAATTTTAAATGATGAAGAAAAAAATGATGATGAAAATAAAAAAAATTCGAAGCAAAAAATGATATGAGTGTGTATAAACCAAAATCTGCCTTATTCTATTTTCTTATGACGAAAAAAATCTCCTACCGTTATAGCGCAATTATTTGCTAGTGTATATCGTTCTTGATCACCACATTTAAACACACAAGTAAAACAACAAAAGCAACATTTATGGAAATTCACAAACATTAAAGGAAAAAAGCAAACGTAAGAAAACCCTTTCAACAAGAATTGATAGAAACAAAAGTATCATTACTCTATTAAATCACAAAACAAGCAAAAGTAAAAAAACACCGACAATTTTTATCTACTTTCCAGTAAAAGAAATTAAGTATCAAACTAATCTCTAGTCCAAATATGTACTAACATAGCATTTTGTGTGAGTTGTAGTATACATGTACAATTGTTGGTAATCCAAAGCAAAAGCAAAAAAGAAAAAAATCATAATAATTGGTAAAATGCATAAAAATAAAACGAATCGGGTGCCTCCGTTTCAGTTTGATGTTTTTGGTTTCATCTTCAGTTTCAAAATCAAACAATAAATTAGTTCGCAATGCACGCGGTGTTAACCGTCACCATTAAGTTACAGGAATAATACGCAACCAAACGTACACCACGTACGATTTATACGAGTTCAGTTCGAAAGCAGTCTGATTTTCAACAACGTAACTCACAGTAATAATCATAATCTATAACATGTTAACGTAGGCAACCAAAACTACAAAACGCCAGATAAAAAATAAGAAAAGGCAGTCGATTGATGCAATCGCATCGATTACACACACACAAAATCACTTCAAATGCGCGGTGATGTTGATTGCATCGGTCGATCTGGCCGCACACACGAGACGCACCACACACACACAGCCGATGATATGACCGCCGATGACTTAGTGCATCCTACAAACTAAGATAAACCAAACAATTCCCTTATATCAATATGTATAACGTAATAATAAGCATGCAGTATGATGACGACGATGCAGCAACTCTAGCGCCGTCGCGCTATGCAACCCAAACGACTCTGTCTCCAAAATGAATAATTTCGTTGATTGCATATAATATATAAAGAAACTAAAGCAACCACAAAACGTTAGTTTGCGATGGGATTCACGCGCGGGGCCGTTCTCAATTTTGAAATAGTCATAACCATTCTCAGCCATACGAAAATCAGCAGCAATAGTTCAAATGAATATGAAGGCAAAAACCAAAAAAATATCTCCAGCAGTTTAAACTGAGCAAAACTTTTAAGTAAAACAAAACGGAAGGAAACGAACGAAACCAGCAAAATTTTCCTCAAAATCATGTGAAAAATTCAGGGCGCTGTGTGGTGTGTTGCATACGCCACGCAGGCCTGCGACGAGCTTTTGGGACGTTTTTTCTCTTTCGCATCCAGAAAATTTTCAAAAATAACCGGCAAAAAACATTCATTCAGAAAATTTCACACTGGGCCAATTCGTCCGTCAAAAAAGTGCCTTCAAAGTTGTTTTTACGAATAAATATGAATAAAATGTGAAAAAAAGATGATGAATAACGCGATGAAATTTTTTACAAATTTTAAAAACGTTTAAGAATCTCTAAATGAAAAATAAGAAAAAAAAAGGGCCCTAAATAGACACTGGCTAGCCCAACCAAAACGGCCCCGGGCGTTACGCTCGCCCAGCGAGATGAATCCAACCATCGATTGTACGTTAAGATTCAGTTAGACGAATAATGGGGCACTCGATATAATAATACTAATACTAATAATAATACTACATTTAATATTAATACGCATTAAGGTTATTTCGTAAATATTATATTGTTATAACGCTAAGGACAGGTCGGAACCGGTGCATCCACTTTTTTTCGCGGTCGGTCGCTCGCATCCAGAGGGCGCGCGCCGCTCAAGCGCTACCCGAATACACGCGACGAGGCACACCGCCATCTAGCGGGCGGCCGACCGGCCGGCGAAGGCCACTACTATTTGTGGTATATAGTAACTTTGAATTAGTCGTAGCATAATAAAGCATAAACAGATTGAATGGTTTCAGTTAAGAATTGAAGAATTGTAAAACAATACGAATATCACGTACGGCCGTACTGGCAGTGTACGCGACCCACTGTACGCGAAACGGACACATCGTGCAAATGCAGAAAAATGAAGCAGTAAAGTAAAATCTAAACATCTCTATGTTATTTAAGAAACACAGTTTACGTTTAACATTTACGCTGTTACATTTGTTATTTGTTATTATGACTCCCCTACCCCCCTACCCCCCGCGAAAAGCAGATTGATTCGAATGCAAGTCGTCCTTGTACTACTTACAACATTTGTCGGCCGGCGCAACCGGTCGACACATACGATAGCAGTAAGCAAACGCGATGCAAACGCGAAGCATGACAAGATGGCCCAGCGTGCCATTCGTGATACGTAAACTTCAACTTGTATAATTTACACATAAATGACATAAGAATAAGGTGAATCTAGGGACAATTGCAAAGCTAACTATAAGTTACCACTAAGTTTAAGTGTTATACCATAAATACCGCAATAGCAATACAGACTACAATAGTATAAACAAACCAATCGCGCGTGCGGTCTCGTGCGCCGCGCGACTCATCAGAGATAAACATAAATGGATATTTTGTAATGCAACCACAAATGCCGATTACCCGTTTTTTAAACTACAATGAACTAACAATTATTGATTATACGGTTTTACTACGAAGTATTTTATAATTAGTGTGGTGAGACGTTTATATATTTTAACAAACGTGAGCCGTGAACATAAACATAATTGCAATAGTAAGCGACCTTATACATACACAAACTTGTATTTATATTGTAAATACACATCAAACAATAGCCGGTTAAACACAGGATGAACGCACAACTCTTTCGGACGCGAGTCACATGACCGATTTTCAACCAGCCTACCATGAGCAAATTCGAAATTTACCGATATACAGTAAACCAAGACAAACAATCAATCAAAACAGCAGCCCGTCGATATAATATAATTAAGGACAGTTTTTTCTTCTCCTCTCCGGCAGCCCAGCGCGTTACGCATTGTTTCTATTATGATGAGGTTCCGTTTATAAGTGCAATATAATCGTTTGGTTCTTAATCGGAGGTAGCGACGCATCGAATCAGTCTGCCCAAAAAATATGTAATGCAAGACGACGAAACGCCCAGGTATTACGTTTTTTTTCTATCTTTCCTTCTTTCTTCCCGCATGGTTTCCCGCCCGCATTATTTATCTACTCACGCATACACAACAACTGACGACTCAACATATACGAATGGTCTTCCTCTTTCTATTTCTCGACAAACACATCAACAGGACAGCAAAGCAAAACCAGATTAATAAAATCAATAGTTTCAGCAGAAAAGTTTCACTTTTTGTAATTTTCAGTCAATCGAAAGCAACTCGCGAACAAAAAAACAATGGTATTCCAAGGACGCGCTTTTACTATTTTCAAATTCAGCATGAATAAAACAAGTCAAGGCAAAACTAAAGCTAAAAGTTTTTCAGTTGAAAAGTTGATCGCAAGAGCAATTTTTCCAACACTTTTTAGTGTAATACGTTTTTTAGGTGAAGGGATGAAGGCTTCGTCTTACGCCCGTGTGACGCAAGACAAAGCGTTAAAAAGTAAATTTAAAAGTTTTTAAATTAACCACTAAAAATATATGTATATCTATATTAATATAAATTTATTACGAAAACAAAAAAGGAAACTATATAAAAATGATTATAGAAAATAATCGAAGAAAAATTCTTTCAAAATGAAGAAGAAACGAAAAGATATTAAATGAACATACAAATGTTAATAATTCTTTGGCAAGTCTAAATTTCCGGAAATGCGGCTGCAATACTGCTCGCATGGATATTCGAAACTGTAAAATTTCCCACAATTTGGCACAAGTTACACACAAACGAATTTTGGTCTAAATTTCACCAACGACTCGACGCTTGACGAGCTTTCAAAAAGCTCCAAGTATGTAAATTTTATCGTTCGATAAACGAAGAAATGCACAAAACGGCGCATGGTCGGTGTCTTTTGGCCCTACATTACCGACCTACGCTCTGCAATATGGCGCTCCTCATACACATAATATTTTTGAATTTTTTTGTACAAACAAAAGTGAATAATTATAGGTGTTATCGATATATTTATTGAAAATGAGATGCGGACGAGGATGGAAACAAATTAAAGAAATTATATATTTATGAATTTGAAATTATGGCTTATAAAATTGTATCAATTTTGTACTGTATTCCTAAAACTAAAAAATTATAATTATACTATGTACACTAAAAAGTAATGCGATACTATGTAATTATACAAAATTTGAGTGATTGAGGCGTATTTAAAAGATGATGGCAAAAAACCTTGCAACTTGTGATAATGTTAAAAGCATGACATTGTTGCATCGAATAATAATAAAAAACAAATGACTACTATTTATATTATGTAATAATATTGTAAAAGATGGAAATTATTGTAAAAATGATATATTTAGGAAACTATATATTGCATATGTATCTTTAAAAATGGTTGACTTTTACGTTTGGGAGCGCCATCTCATTTTTGGTAGTTACGAAGAAGTTGTGTAAACAAGTCGCACAAAGCTCGAGTCGTTGTAAAACAAATGTATAACATTTAAAAACAAAAAAGAAAATTGGTCTTATGATGATCTTCAGAGAGACGATCCAGTGGTTAATTGTCGAGAATAGTCTCTGGTTGTCATTTTGCCGCCACAGCCTATCAAAAACTGATGATTAGGCTTTGTTTATATGAGTATATATAAACGCAAAAATGATAAGATGTAATAACACAACAAAACCAGTAATATTTAATTAAGGTTAGGCGTCGATAGGGAATCGAATAAGATTGTATATTTAGTACAAAACAAAAAACACGTACGCACGTGAATGAATAAAATTTAAGAGAAACAACACGTGGTGAAAATAATTTTAAATGAACAAAAATGATGAAATGAAATCACAACACTTTTGAGAGAGAATGAGAGATAGCTCAAAATTTAATTTTCGCTTTGCTTTGCGCACGCGAAGAAGCTACCGGCCGACAGGGGACGCTCGCTCCGCGCAGAGAAGACGTTTATATGTGTAAAAATTTAAGAGTATTTTTATATTTATATTGGTGTAAATCAAAATTTGGTAATGGAGAAAAACAAAATCGACGACGACGACGACGGTAAAATGAAAAAGCCCACCTATTGTAGAGATTTTTAGGTTTGATGAAAGTATAAATTTAAGGAAATTAAAATTTAGGAATTTTTAAATGAATTTGTATATATATGAAAATTTATATATAATATATAGATGGCGGGCGAGCGTGTCACGTCGGCGTTGCGGGCGCAAAGATTAAACTAAAACACATAACACACAAAAATGAAAGCAAAGAAAGCAAGGAAGGGGAGAGGAGAGCAGCAGAGTGAGAGATCGGAGAAATGATACTAAAAAATAAATATTGTTGGTACGCGTATGTATGATGGCGTGGCGACGTATACTATACTACAATATACGTACAAAGTACTCGTAAGTGTGCAAGAAACGAGCACCTCTTCTTTCGTTCCGCTTCGAATCGATCTGATACAATATTTTTACGTTTTTCGTTTAGCGTGTGCCGTATCCATGTTATATTAGACAATTTTACTATTTGGTGTACAGCAATTTTTTCGACCACTGTCCCCCGGGCTGTTCTATTCACGAAGCCATCACGATGGGCAGGTCGAGATGTTGTGACTGTGTTTTCATTGAGCAGTATAATAAATATATACATTTATTTGGAACTTACTCCATTTTGTGTACGTTTACTAACCCTTATACTAACATAATATGTACATTTAACTTTATTATTACAATTTTGTTTTCCGATTTTTCTGATTCCAGCGCTGTTTGTATCTTTTTTAAATAAGTTGAGGGCGCTGCCATCTCTCCCCACTAGGAGAATCACTGGTGGTAACTCGGTGCTGGTCGTAAATTATTGTGTCATTCGTTGTTTTGGTTTTGTGCAGCTGTTTCCGAATGCTTAAAGCGTTGTAAGTATGATATTAGTTCTTAAAAATTTAATACCTTGCTCACTAACTGTTCATTATCCAGAATATAATAAATTAAGTGTACTATATTTACATCGTCACATGTTTGTGTGGTGTATTATTGTGTAGGTTAGGTTAAAGCAAAATTTAAATAGTTTATGTCAATACAATCAGTCAAAAATTATTAAATCATTGTTGGCCTGTATGAATATTGTAAATTAAGATTTGTGTATGTTTTTTAGTTATTACTGGCATTATGGCATATTAATGGATCAGTATTACATGCCTTGTAGTTTCTTTTCTATTGATAATTCCATCAAGGCTGTTTCATCCCTCAAGATTTACAAGAAAGGTATGTTGTGATATTAACAATTATGCTGTTAAATCTAAATGAATTTTCAACTTATTTTAGTGATATTAACATATGATATTATTTTTTAGTACTAAGAATAACAATGTTGAAGAACGGTTTGGAAGCTGTTTTTAGCAAAATCTTGTATTGCTCAATAAATTTGGAGTTATCTTCAAAATATCAATAGAGGACCAGTGCAGACCAGTGTACACGACATTTCCTGGCGAGAAGTTCGTCCGCGGACAATTCGCCGCGACACTACTGGAAACTACTTGCAAGGTTCGAGCGTTTGGGTAGCTGTATTACAGTTTCCTGCCATGCTAGTATGTATTAGTTAGTTCTCCAGTAGCAAGATGGAGCTGGTGTATTTAATTGGTAACTGGTAGGTAATTTCGTCTCTAGATGGCGCCAGTGCCGACATCGTTGTGGTTTGATATGTAACATGTGTTTTATTCGATTATCGTATCTTTTTAAGTATTTCATTTCTTTATCATTTTTAAACATAACTTTTGTGATTAGCTCATGAATTAGTGGCAAAAATTTAATTTCTGTTTGGCAAAGGACTACTTTTCGCTTGTTTTAGGTTTTTGCACCCGAAGTCGACGTCGTAGCAAAACCGTTCTTGCTTCAGATTGTAAGTATTTAATTTCTATATCATTTTTAAGCATAACTTTTGTGATTAGTTCTTGAATTAGTGACAAAAATTACATTTCTGTGTTGCAAAGGACTACTTTTTGCTTGTTTTAGGTGTTCTGCACCCGAAGTCGACATCGCAAGAGAACCATTCTTGCATCAGATTGTAAGTATTTAATTTCTTTACTATTTTTAAACATAACTTTTGTGATTAGCTTATAAATTAGCGACGAAAATTGCATTTTTGTGTTACAAAGGACTACTTTTCGCTTGTTTTAGGTGTTCTGCACCCGAAGTCGACATCGTAGCAGAACCGTTCTTGCATCAGATTGTAAGTATTTAAATTCTTTATCATTTTCACACATAACTTTTGTAATTATCTCACAAATTAACTTTTTTATGTTCGAAGGACTAATTTTTGCTTGTTTTAGGGATATTGCACCTGAGTCTGATATCGTAGAAGGACCATTCTTGCATCAGATTGTATGTGTTTAATTTCTTTATCATTTTCATAAATATGTTTTGTGATTATGTCAAAAATTGTTCCTAAAAAAATGCATTTTTATGTTCGAAGGTCCGTCATGGTAGAATGACCATTCTTGCATCAGATTGTAAGTAATTAATTTCTTTATCATTTTCATAAATAAGGTTTGTGATTATCTCACAAATTGACCCTCCAAAATTGCATTTATATGTACGGAAGGACTAATTTATGTTTGTTTTAGGGATATTGCACCTGAGTTTGACATCGTCGGGTGACCATTTTTACATCAGATTGTAAGTATTTTATTTCTTTATCGTTTTCATAACTAATATTTGTGATTAGCTCATGAATTAGTGACAAAAATTACATTTCTGTGTTTCAAAGGACTACTTTTCGCTTGTTTTAGGTGTTCTGCACTCGAAGTCGACATCGTAGCAGAACCATTCTTGCATCAGATTGTAAGTATTTAATTTCTTTATCATTTTCCTAAATAAGTTTTGTGATTATCTCACAAATTGACCCTGAAAATTGAATTTTTTGTTCGAATGACTAATTTTTGCTTGTTTTAGGGATATTGCACCTGAGTCTGTCATGGTAGAAGGACCATTCTTGCATCAGATTGTAAGTATTTAATTTCTTTATTATTTTCTCAAATTACTTTTGTGATTATCTCACAAATTGACCCCCAAAATTGCATTTATATTTTCGAAGGACTAATTTATGCTTGTTTTAGGGATATTGCACCTGAGTCTGACATCGTAGGATGACCATTCTTGCGTCAGATTGTAAGTATTTCATAACTATCGTTTTCATAACTAATTTTTGTGATTAGCTCATGAATTAGTGTCGAAAGTTGAATTTTTGTGTTGCAGAGGACTACTTTTTGTTTGTTTTAGGTGTTCTGCATCCGAAGTCCACATCGTAGCGGAACCATTCTTGCATCAGATTCTAAGTATTTAATTTCTTTATCGTTTTCATAACCAATTTTTGTGATTAGCTCATGAATTAGTGACGAAAATTGCATTTTTGTGTTGCAAAGGACTACTTTTTGCTTGTTTTAGGTGTTCTACACCCGATGTCGACATCATAGCACAACCATTCTTGCATCAGATTGTAAGTATTTAATTTCTGTATCATTTTCAAACATAACTTTTGTGATTAGCTCATGAATTAGTATCAAAAATTATATTTCTGTGTTTCAAAGGACTACTTTTTGCTTGTTTTAGGTGTTCTGCACCCGATGTCGTCATCGTAGCAGAACCATTCTTGCATCAGATTGTAAGTAATTAATTTCTTTATCATTTTCATACATAACTTTTATGAATAACTTATGAATTAGCGAGAAAAAAATTACTTTTTGTGTTTCAAAGCACTGATTTTGCTTGTTTTTGGAGTTTAGCACATGAACGCGTCATCCGCGTAATATCAGCGAGGTCCCTAAAGATGTAAAATTTAATTCTTCAAGGCGTAATATTCTAATGTCGTCGGCGATGTACCTGTAGAACGTGTATTGTTAGATAAATTGTACGTTTCGTACGTTGTTATGTCGATAACTTGTAACTGTCATTTAGTCATTCTGAATAGTTTTTGGATTATATATAACGTGGATTGTGTTTTATTAATTTTCGTTCAGGTGAGTGAGATAGAAATACCAGGATAAGGTGATAGCAGGTGAGTTAGAATAAGAGAGCAATACTCAAGTTTCATGTTCAATCCATGTTCTTTATATGATCTGCCGAATTTTCTACACTTCGTTTATGCTGTCAGTTCGACCTTAGCTTGCGCAAAACGCTGTGCGCTGCCATTTGAAATTTGAACAGTACCGCACCGGTCGCCGTGTGTCGTCGGCTTCAAGTGACAATTCGCTATACTACTCAGTACATCTTGCGCCGGCCTATGCACCGGCATTTGTGGTGTGTGCACGTGTTCTCTTTCTTCTCCGCCACTGTTCGTCGCAACTGTTAGGATTAGTTTAGTCATCCATTGCTATCAACTACTGAACAAGTGATTTATTTCGAATCGACTCGAGACTTAAGACACCACGTGCGCGTGTGGGCGTACGGATTCCAATTGGATTTATAGGCCAAAATGGTATTGTTAATTGCAAAAATAATCCAAAGAGAGCGTTGTGGCTCGATGGTACGTAGGATATGCCTTGGATCGTACATACGTTCGTTTTATTAAAAAAGAAAGAAGAATGTATTGTTAAATACAATTAATAAAACTCAATTTAAAATTAAAATATTATTCATACTTCTATGTGATATCCTCTTTGTTGTTTTCAGGATATGCGTCTTAAAGCATATTTCATATGAAGCTTATGTGAGTGCAACATAGCTAAGGCATGTGTTGTTGTTTTTAAAAAGTTGACTAAAGTAGAAACATAAGTAGAAGAATCAAATATTAACGATAAAAACACTCGGTGGTCGAGTGGAGATGTGCACCTGCTGGCATGCTGGCAGACACGGATCGAATCTCAGGTATGAGGGCATTTTTCTCAAATATAAAAATATCAGGTGTAATTTGGGTTGCATATATGAATTGCAACGAAATACAAGAGAAATTGAAATACAAGTTGAAGGCAATACCGTAAGTAAGAAAGTAAGTGGAGAAACGAGAACAGAGAAAGAGAAGGAGTAGTAAAGAAAATAGGGGAAGACAGAAGGAAGAAAATAGAGAGTAGAGAAGAGGAGGAGATAGAAGAAAGAGAACAGGGGAGGAACAGATTTTTAAATTTTTTGGCACGTGTCGTTATAAGACAGTCTACTGTTACGATGCGTCCATTGCTCCCGGCCCATCCTACAGCTACGATGTCTCTGCGCTTCATCCCCGAAATTATCAGGCATATCAACAATTTTTATGGTGGGGGATCACCCCCAGAGAGAGGGAACTCCTTATAAGGACAATCCTTATGAGGCCTTGTTTAAATATTTCTAAGTTTTAAGTCGCCTCAGGAGAGGTGACACTTAAAAATATTCTTACAAGTTCTGACCTGTAGCTGAAATGAAAGACGGAGTACACAAATCATACAGGTTACCTTAACAATTTTTATAGAGGGGATCATCCCCTGAGAGAGGGAACTCTCTTAGAGACCTGTTCCTGAAATGATGGAAGGCGAACACACAAATCAAAGAAGTCAATATATCTTACTATTTCTTTATTAACAATAGAATACAAGTTTATAATTTATAAGTCAGCAGAATACGTGGCGCCATATTGAAGCAGTACAAGTACTACTTTGTAAAGTTCTACCGGAATAATGAAATTAGCGAATAACCTATTTACTATGTGATTGAAAATGAAAACTAATATACCGGGTGTTTCAGAAAGGAAATTCAAAGTGCAAACGGGAAAATACTAAAAACGACAGCTAAAGCAAAATTTTCACGAACGCAAAGGAAAACATATATACAGGGTGTTCTAGAATAGAAAATTGCATGTTCAAAGCAGAGAACACTCAAAACTCACAACTAAAGGTGATTTTCTACGTGCTGTTAGGAAAACTAATATACAGGGTGTACAAAAAGAAAATTTTAGAAACTCAAAGGGAGTCAATATTCACAATACGAAGATGGAAATTTACAAATTAACAACAATATTTTAATATAAAATCAGAGATTTTACCCGAAAAGCATCGAAAAATTGAGCAAAAGGGTGCTACAAAAATAAAACACTTACATTTTAATATATTGTGCATATATATTTATTAATAGATGGTAGCACCAACTGTATAAAGTAGCCGACGGGTGAAGCATCATTACAAATTGATAGAATATCCGGCGGAAAACATCTAAATCAACAGACGGCAAGCAACGGCGCGTAGCAACACAGTGGTTAAAGGCGATAAAAATAACTATTTTTTGTAAATATTAAGATATACTGAGACTGCGAAAACGAAAAACCGTTCAAGATTTTATTTCAACAAGAAATTATTAATTTAATGATGCAATTCGATTAAAAATGTATACGTGATCATTGAAAACATGACCGAACCGACGGCCGACGGCAAAGTAAGCGTGGTCGACCACAATTTAAGTCAATTTAAGTTAAACCGCCTTAACTTTCTGCGAAAAATTTTAATTATCCACCCACCTGTGCATTGATGAGGAGAATTTCTATCCTGTAATATATTCTATCAACTGAAAACTCGCGCAGGGATTAACGGACACTTATTTCTTACATAAGAAGACTCTAACCGCCATAAATCATTAAACAAAACAGGCACACATGCCCATTGCGAATATTTTGCCGATGGCCGAAAGAATACACGACGATTAATCCTCAATTAAAACCTCAAAACGCGTGACGATTAGAGAGACACGCTCGCGGACCACGCGGTAAAACAACTGCCGTGTGCCGCACGCGTAGCCGGGTACAAGGCAGGTATGCAGCAATATCACGAATCCGTCGAACAAAAAAGTTGTTTATACACAAACGTACTGATAAACACGTAGTTGAGAAGACGAAACTAAAAATTCACAATGTTGAAATACACATACACGAAATTTACTTTTACTTTCAATATTTTTCGACATACGAAAAGAATTTATTGGCTTTGGGATGTAATAAGATTGAGTCTTCGTAAAAGTTTACTGTATACCTTAGTTAATTAAATAATTGGTGTTCACAACACTGCGCTTAATTTAAATATTCACTGTAAGATAAAGTATTAAAATAAGTTATAACATTAATTTAATAAAAACATTATAAATATTTTATATATAATTGTGTCGATTGCGTCAACCTACTGAAGCTTAGTTAACACACATGTTGTTTGTAAAGCATACTTTACACTACAGTGTTTATAAATAAAACACGTTAATATTCAAGTAAACTTACCTATACTTATTTCCATTTCAGTGTTACAGTGTTATAATTGTAACACTTCACCTTGCAAAATAAGAATAAATAAATACCTCTTGGCCTGTCAAAATTTAATAGAAAATGAAATCGTTGAAGATGTTTTTCCTTTACTGGAAATACCATTTTCTATCGAATCCTTCTGGAAGAAGCATGCAGTTCACAACTGGTCCAAGATATTCGTAAGGTTTCGTTAAAACGTTAAACTTAAAAACAAACAATTTATAAGATAAGATAATAAAATTTGGAAAATAAGAAGGAAAATAATTAATAACAAAAAATATTGCTGCATCACGCTGGCAGCCATGGCATTAAACATTACGAAAATTTGGAAAATTCTTTATAAGATAATAAGATAAGAGATAATAAGATTTAAGGAAATTAAAATTCAGGGTGTAAAGGTTCAGAAATCTTAATCAAATTAATAATTTAATGAATACACAAAATAAAACCACTAGGGATTCTTAGCCGACGGAAGATATTCGCCAGCCGACGGGAAATACCTGCGTAATTTGCAATTCCGAGTTCTAAATATCTCAATAACTATACGCTGCACTTGTCTAGTAATTCTAAATCTGATCTTTGCTGATCGATTCTAATTCAACAACCGACTTACTCGTAAAATCACAAGAAATGCGGTAAGTCATTACGAAAACCGCCGCGCAAATAGACGCGTGCACACCACGCGCAGCACACGATCGACAGTAAGAAATAGAACAAAAGCTGCTGAGCGCCCCGGACGAGCAACAACACAATAATACAAAAACAAGTCGTTTGCACACAAACATCGATAAAAGTCAAGAGTGAGTGAACAATATTGTGGATGCAGTCCAATGTAATGAAATGATTTCATATTGTGGATGTTGTCTCTTATTCGTATAAACAACATACGAAGGTAACGATAGAAATGAAACCCATTTAGGGCACCGTACGAAGGTAGCAGTAGAAGTGATTTTTATTCAGGGCACCGTACGAGGGTAGCGGTAGAAGTGACTCACATTTAAAGCACCGTACGAGAGTAGCGGTTAAAGTGACTATTCAGAGCACCGTACGAGAGTAGCGGTAGAAGTGACTTCATTCAGGGCACCGTACGAGGGTAGCGGTAGAAGTGACTTTATTCTAGGCACCTGAATAACGATTTTAGAGGACTTCTAGCGGAATTTCATCGGACTGCAAGGTCGCATCTTAGAAAATGACTCCCGAACTATCTAAATTTGAAAGAATCATTGAAATCGCACAAACGGTTCGCGAGATACAGTCAAATTTCCATCGTGTGTTTAAAAAAATCACTAAAATCGTATAAGTTTCAGAGCGATTTTAAGGCACTTCTAGCGTTATTTCTGCGGACTGCAAGGTCGCATCTTAGAAAATGACTCTCGAACTCTCTAAATTTGAAAGATTCAATGAAACCGCACAAACGGTTCGCGAGATACTGCCGAATTTCCACCGTGTGTTTAAAAAATTCACTAAAATCCTATAAGTTTCAGAGCGATTTTAAGGCACTTCGAGCGTTATTTCTGCGGACTGCAAAGTCGCATCTTAGAAAATGACTCCCGAACTATCTAAATTTGAAAGAATCATGGAAATCGCACAAACGGTTCGCGAAATACAGCCGACTTTCCACCGTGTGTTTCGATAAATCACTAAAATTGTAAAAGTTTCAGAGCGATTTTAAGGCACTTCTAGCATGATTTCGGCGGACTGCAAGGTCGCATCTTAGAAAATGACTCCCGAACTATCTAAATTTGAAAGAATCATGGAAATCGCACGAATGGTTCGCGAGATACAGCCGACTTTCCACCGTGTGTTTCAATAAATCACAAAAATGGTATAAGTTTCAGAGCGATTTTACGGCACTTCTAGCGGGATTTTGGCGGGCTGCAAGCTCGCATCATAGAAAACGACTCTCGAACTCTCTAAATTTGAAACAGTCAATGAAATCACACAAACGGTTCACGCGATACAGCCGACTTTCCACCGTGTGTTTCGATAAATCACTAAAATGGTATAAGTTTCAGAGCGATTTTAAGGCACTTCTAGCATGATTTCGGCGGACTGCAATTGCGAATATCTCATAAACTAAAAGAAATAGAACAGAACGGATTTCTAAATCCTAATCTAATTAATCTAAATAAGTTTGGAAAATTCTCTATATGATAAGACAAGATAATAATTAAAATTCGGAGTGTAATGGTTGTGAAATCGTGTTGAAAAGTGCGCTATCAAAATTCGAAGAACAACTTTGAACATTTCACAAAGGTTATCCGCAATATGATCCGTTTTTCATATTACCATTAAGTGAAATGTATACCGCCCCCCTAAATCGCGGGCTATTGCAACACGCAGGTGAAATGTGAAAAAACATTTAACCGAATAATATACTCGTAACTTAATTATAAACTTACCAATGCAGCGCTCATCGGATTGCAAGGGAACGACAAGTACTGTAATTAAAATAAAACATATAGTTAAAACAAAAAGATTTCATACAATATAATAATGGGCGCTGGCACAACAGTCAGACTCGTAGTGTCTTTTTTTTTCAAGGTTATATACAGGATATAACGGTGGTGTTTTATGCTTGCAGGGTCGACTTTATTGTTATGTGCAAGTCTGCAGGGTAGTATTAAGTACGTGCCGTACACTTAACCGGCCCCTTCTACCACCCCCCCCCCACCGCCCCATAAATATTACCAAACAAGGTAGTCTACCTAACCATAAACCTGCTGCATAAACGCAGCACGTAAAAGCAATAGATGCGCAAAGCCGGCAGCGCGTCGATGGCACGCGACCTTGTGTACAAATTGCAATAGATGCGCAAACCGGCAGCGCGTCGATGACACACGACCTTGTGCGCGAATAGCAATAGATGCGCAAAGCCGGCAGCGCGTCGATGGCATGCTACCTTGTGCGCGAATTGCAATAAATGCGCAAAGCCGGCAGCGCATCAATGGCACGCGACCTTGTGCAAGAAATGCAATAGATGCGCAAAACCGGCGGCGCGTCGATGGCATGCGACCTTGTGCGCGAATTGCAATAGACACGGTACCTGTGATAAGAACTAAACTAAAATGTGCTGCATGCGACAGCGCGACGAGAATCTTAGGCGTATCATCTCGCACGGCGAATGCAATAAGTAAGTTGTTTCTACACAAACGCGGATAATAGAACTGTCTTCAAAATTAATACAATTCTATTTAATGATATTTAGTTCATGCTAGTGAACTAAAATTTAAAGCATGAAATTATGATTTATGATTCGAGTTATATTGAAGCATCCGCAATTAAAAAATTGAAATGCCATTTTCAAATTTCCTGCAAAATGCTTAAAAAATATTTTCACAAAAGATATAAATTTTCTAATTGCAAGAAATTGCAAGGTCGAAAATCGCAACTGAAGGAGCTAAAAATTAAAATTATTCAAATTTTGACGATTTTTTTCAATTGCGAACATCTCTAAAAGAGATAAAAAAGGAACGAATCGCAGTTTTAATCTACGGACAATTCTCTATAAAATAAGCTAGTTAAATTGAAAATCTAAGTAACCAAATTTTAATTCATAAGAAAAAATGGGCAAATAGTAGTCAGCTATACAATCATCCACGTACGGTGCCCTGTACACGAGTCACTTCTACCGCTGCCGTTGTGCGGTACCTTGAACACGAGTCACTTCTACCGCTACCCTCATACGGTGCCCAGAATACGAGTCACTTCTACCGCTACCCTCGTACGGTGCCCTGAACACGAGTCACTTCTACTGCTATCTCGTACGATGACCTGAACACGAGTCACTTCTACTGCTATCCTCATACGGTTCCCTAAACACGAGTCCCTTCTACCGCTATTCTGCATTAGATAAGAATTCAAAATAATTTAATTTCGTGGGACAAAAGGACCAAAAACGTAACAAAAAGCAATTTTTCTTTTTTTTTGCCTTTTTAAATTGTGAATATCTCCCAATTGTGTCCGATCGTGCCGGTCAACTAATTTGCTATTATTAGGACTTCACACGAGACGAGACTGAACGAGACTATCAAAGGTATCGTCTCGGTCCCGGTATCATCTCGGAAAAGCGATACGAGACCGAGACGATACGAGAAAAGTCTCGGTATCGTGTGAAGCCTTATGTAGAACTCAGTTTTAGATCTTTGCAGTTCAAAAGTTTAGTCATTTAATTGCTAATTGCTTTTATTGTAAAGTAAGTCCAAAATACATACATAGTTTAAAATATTAATTTTCGATTGCATCACTTTTAATTGAAAAGATATTTTTTAATGTTTCAAATTTTTAAACGTTAATGTATACTAGGGTACAATAATCGGGTTGATTTGTGTTGAAAGTAAGCGGCGCACGTCTACAATTCCTAACTTACCCAAATGTATACAATATCTTTGCTTCAAGAAGTACAGAAAAACACAAAAATATGTCTCCGGATGTGTAAACAAAGACAAAATTTTCATATAATTTTCAAAAAGTCATAAAGGTCATGTTATTCGGTTAGTGACTTGTTCTTTAGAATATACAAAAGAAATATTTCACAGATGGTCATATATTGGATTTCATATATTGGACCTTTTCTCATTTTTCTAATAACAACTTCATAAAAAAAATTTAACGAGACCAATAACGAGACCAAAAACGAGACTCGGACTGTGGTATCGTCTCGCTATTCCGAGACGAGAACGAGATGATACGAGAAAAGTCTCGGTATCGCGTGAAGCCCTAGCTATTATTTTTGTGTATGCGATTTAAGAGCGATCAGACTCTCCTCGGCCATGTATATCCCTAGTTGCACACAAACATCATTTGTGTTAAAAGTATATATTTCGGCTAAACCCAGAAAATATTCAATTCATATTACTTACAATAAATCTTCTTCGGCATAGTACGTAGGTATATGCAATCCATGCAAATCCGGTAGTTGACCGAGGGATTATTTACGTTTTTAAACATTCCTCACACAGTGGACATCAAAGTAAAATACAAACCACGTCTATTAATATTAAATGTCTTCGATTCTTGATCGAATGTAAAGTAATCGAATTAAAATTTCGCGACATATGGCGCTCTGTCACAACAACAAGCCACGAACAGAGATATCAAATGCACAAGCGAACGGCACCCGGCGACGGCGAACGACGAAGAAAAACTACCCGAATGCAAATGACTAAATTCTAAGGCTTCACGTTAGTTCTCACGGCACGGTTCACGGCTGTAAACAAACGAACAACTGATAACAAGACAATCGGCTGCGCCACACCGCGTACTACATAACTTGTTTCGATCAAGACGCTTCGAATTTAATGCAAATATGTTCTTACTAGCGACATCTTGGTTCACATTATAAAGTAATGGATATGTATGACGTGCGCATCGCGAGATCTCAGCCGGAACCACTCATACTGTGACATGTACCGACAAAACAACATTCATGCACAATACAAATATTAATTTTATATAAGTTAATAGGAAAATAACGAAATCTTTTTCTCTCAATATGTGTCGCAAAACCTGAATTTCCTAAATTTAAAAGAATTTTGAATGCAGGCAACGTAAGCAAAGCAAACTACAACAAATCAAAATATTAATTAATTCACCTCACTCGGATGGAACTCCTGGAGTGTATGTTCACCATCCCGGAATCGTATTTGCATCTTGAACAATTCCACAATATTTTTAAATGCCACATTTTATTTTAATGCAGAACGACCATGTTCCGTCGGCAAGCAAACTCACTGATACTAACGTTTAACGCAATGCTTAACACTTCCATTACTAACAACAAACGACACACTCATACCACCACATAATGTTTAAGAGAAGATGCAGTAAACTTAACGCAAAACTTAATAATTTGTGAATACTATATTCTCATTTTGAAATTCAAGCGGGGTCAATTTGGTTTTTAATGCGTTTACTAGAGCAACAAGCGATTCTTTTCACATTCATTTACTACAGCGCGTGAGTTCCGACGGCACGCAAAATTTATTAAGGTAAACCACTCACTGATACGAACGCGTATAAACTGTGCGAAACCGCAGATTCACACACACCTATAGGAGTGTAATTTATAAACTGTCCGAATGCAAAACACGTAAGTTTTAACACAGCGCCCGAATTCTCACAGCACGCAGGTTTAAGAATGTAAACAAACAACCTACTGATAACAACCCTATTGGCTGCACAAAATCGCGTGATCTCACACGGACACGCGTTTGCCGTTTAACTATCTACCACCAACAAGCAACCGGTTGAGATTTCGCTCTGAGGCTTTAATGCGAATATGTGCATGCTAGCGACATCTGGGGTAACATTATGGTATTATATGGTGCGTGCAACACCAATGCGCTCGCAGACCCGTTTGCGCAAGAGTGTATGAATGGTAAGAATCGCGAAATATTTGGTAAGAGTTGAAACTGTTAAACCGCGTCCAGATGTCGCTAGCGTTCACTTTTAAATAAAATTGTGTTTGCAATAAATTAATTTGTGCATGTTTAACTATTAAATATCGACTTCCTATCGGCAAGCTATCGACTTCCTTGATTGTCTTGTTATGGCATAAATGTAAATAATTGAATGCAATTGTAAAAATTGGCTATTAAATGTTCATAATGTGCAGAAATTTAAAAACAAGAAAGATTTTGGCTCCAAAGAGCAATTCCTATTGTGGGATCCAATCTAAGAACAAACACGATTGCACCGTAAGAACCAGCCACTGAACTGAAATTATCACTGACCGTTCTTGAAAAGATCTATAATTTACTGCTATATATTTATTTTTGTTTACAAACAAAACAATATCTCACCATTACTCTACCTTTTACCCACTAGCCTCACCCGACTAAAATATTCACCTCAGTAATACAGAAAAAGATGGTCTTCTTTAGGCCACTTGCAAAGATTTTTAAAGTGAAAACAAACAATTTTTTAGCAAAAGAATGTTTATCTTTACCATTTCCGTACCAAAAATTACGTGTCACCTATGTTGCCAGTCTACACTCCCAAACGGTACACAGCAAATAGTAAAAAAGAATTTACGATGAAAAATTTATCGTCTATAAACGAATTTTATTGGCAAAGTTTTATTATTTAAGTTCTTGTATTTTCATGTCAGCAATTGAAAGCGCCATTTTTCTTATTATGTAATAAAATATTTTCTTTTCCTCATTTCTAGCCAGCTAGCCAGTTAGAGCCATTTTATCATCAAATACCTAGTACCGTATTGTACTGGACAAATTTCCAAAGTGGTTTAAGCCATAATATCCGAAGCAGTAAACTATAAAATATCATCAAACAAATACTAATGTTGTATTATAGCTGAAAAGCGTAACATTTAAATCAAGTTAATTAAATGTCGAGCAAGCCAGACAAAAATATGAAAAATAAGTTTTTGCTGGAAAATATCGTCGATAAAATTTATTATTACGCCAAACTGATCAATAGTCGTAAATGATAATTTTTCACAATTATAAAATTTTTATTGACGCTTTTGCCTGGAGTGCCATTTCGCTAGGACGCATTACCATTAATTCGAGCACTGAGCACCCGAACGAGAAATGCTCTGTACTTTTGTTAGTTTTTCGGCTGTAAAAGTTAAAAGTTCGTATAAGCAAACGACGATTTCAGTCGTCGAAGCACCCCTCGTAAATCGGGAATTTGTTTGTCTCTTCGAACAATTTTGTGTACGATGTCGTTAAATGCAGCTGAGGAATTATGCTTTCATCGCCATAAATACCGAAGCAAGTAATAGAGCGGTAACTGATTTTTTTTGCTTCTATTTCGTTGAAGTAATTATGAACAATTATCTAATAACTTGCGTACAATTGACAATTAAACACGATTATCTACAAAAAATATACAGGATTAAATGATAAAACATACAGGATATATTCAATTAATAAAACACTCAGCATTTATTTTCTAATCTCTACATTCCTTGCTTCTTGCAACCACATCACTTATTCCGTTTATCGATAACTAGATATTATGTATATATTTATATGTGTTTATAAATCCTTACAGTTCTTTATATTTCAGTTTGCTTGAGTTGCTTACAATCTAATAAATTCGTTTCGGATGAGAGAAATGACTTTCTTTTCACTTTTCATAGCTTAACACTATGTGATCACCAAGCAGCACCGTTCGTATTGCAAGGAATACTCCCGAATTTACATGCTTTAAACCTTCACAATGGGTTTAATATGCCAGTTCGCCAAAGAAGAATCACCATCATATCACAAGTTCCTAAAAAGACTAACGATCATCATCGCGACAATAAATCGTGTAAAGGTTTGTTTGTAAGCTATTAATATCAATATTATTATTACTAAAGTAGTTTTAAGGTAATGTAATAGTTACAAGAAGTTTGATACAATTACAATCGCTTCGCAAACAATTTTCGAACAATAAAGTACAAAGTAAGTTGTGTTTGTCTTGTGTGTGCATTGTTTTAGTTTTATCATTGGTTTGTACCACAAATATTCAAACTTTAACATTTGCATTTTTAGGTTTCATTTTCATTTCATTTCAATCCATGTCACACGCAGTTGTGCCTAGCAATATAATTAGTATAAGTAGAACATTTATTTGGCATAATATTTCATTACTCTATAACTAAATTAAAACTGTAACTGTACGAGCAGTACTTTAGTACATAGAAATTTTGAATTGTATTGCTGAATTGTGGCCAACTTCGCTCAACAAAGCGTGAACAATTTGAGTGACAAACGAGACGGCACTCTGGTGCATATATATTTGTGTTGCCAACGTGAAGTTCCAAACAGAGTTAAAAATAAGAATCTGTTGCGCAAAACGTCTTTTCATCTACGATTTTATAAAAAGAGTAAATCATCATATTAAATTTTGCAGAGCAGTATACATGTAGATTACGTTATTAATTAACATTCTAGATACAAGCCAGATTTGGACGAATGTTGAAGTTCCTTTAGATTATAATTTGTTAAAGACGGACACAGTATTTACATATTATCTTATCTTATGGTGGCTACTCTTTTAAAACGTTTGTAACATCTACAGTGTATTCTTAAGTCAACAGTGACAAAGTTTTAACGGTTCATGAAAAACACTATCTTAATCAATTCATAAATAAAAATTACATAATAATAAATAACATTTTATAGTTTTCTTGTATATTTAAGATATAATTAAGAAAATGTTACATGTTTATCATACATGCACATATTTTAATATTATGATGCTTGTAATGTAGATAGGACTTTCATTTATCATTAGTATTGTTTGGATAAATCAGAACTGAAGGTTTTATGTCTTCACGAATTTGCAAAATATCTTGATTACATTTAATGTAAAAAACTAGATCAATTTTGAACGACACTTGATTTTTAGAAGACGTTTTGAAATCACACTAGAGAACACGATACTGCGATTGAAGAAATTTCAAGTCGACGCAACCAATTTGTAACCTTATTAATAAACGGAACATAACTAGTGATAAATCGCTAAAATTATTAACAATTAGTACAACTTCCGATGGCATCGGATTTTGCTTAAGCGCTTCCTGGTCGACGCGCCGAGCTGACGAGTAAGTTGTGCGTCGGAAGTTGATTGATATCCAGTCGGCCATCAAATCTGCAAACAAATTACAAACCATTTAGTAATTAGTCGCTTTGAAAATGATGATTTACACAATTTTATCCACTCGTTAATTAATCATTATTAATTAACTGAATTGCAAACAAAAAGTGTGAAATTAAGCATCATAAACCAATCTTAATTAATATTTTTTTCTGCAACGATGAGATGAAGTCGTTAGACCAATTAAGTTGTTAAATTTCATTAATTAATAATTATGTAATTACACTTTTCAGACAACATGCTTTAGTAACGTTCATGTAAGAAATGAAGAAATGATAATTCGGCGTTTGGTAAATACTTTACACATTATAATTTTATTGCTGGTGCTTAAACTTAATTGCAAATATGCAAAATGCTGAATTTTCGTTATATGGTAATTGAATAGAAATCATATGTCGCTAAGCCATCACAATCCAGACAGGGCGCCACTTTCTTTTATCATTTAAAGTATTAGAATAGCTATACTCAATTAGTTAACGTTTTCTTTTGTATATTTTTTAAAGGTACCATCAGGTAACAGTTTTACCATGGTGCATAACCTGCGATAACCACAGATAAGCAATATCGGGGTGGATAACAGTCTTTAGAAGGAGAAGTGTTAAACTCAGTTTGAAACTATAGGTACTCGGATCTTAGCTATTGTTGGAACTTCCTCACACCACTTTTTGCAATTGTCAGCCCGGGTAGCTCAGTCGGTAGAGCATTGGACTTTTAATCCAAGGGTCCAGGGTTCAAGTCCCTGCTCGGGCGATGTTTTTGCTATACCTTCTGAACCATTATACTAATCCAATGAAGTTACGCTTTTGGATGGCATACATTATAATTAATTTTTCTTTAAGGTTAAAAGAAATGTGAGTTTTGGGAGATTTTGAACGTACTACTGCACAAAGTGTTGCGGTAGTTGCAAGAAGTCCACTGCTTTCCTCCTATCTAAGTATTACCCGCCCTGATGTTGCTAAGTTTTGGTTCTCGCAGGAATGCAGTTATGATGCTATGACAATTGCCTTTAGATAGTCTATTAAAAAATACATATATACCGAATATAGTAAAGCTATGCAACAAATGCCCAAGTACAATCGGTACAATATACTCAAACGGTCTGCATGTACATCTTGATTCAATTATGCAGCAGTACAAAGGCATTTACTTATTACATACATGTATTATGTGCCGACAAGTTGTTTTAATGGAGTCGCAAAAACATCATGTCGGCCATCATAAACTCAATCCGCGGGTCGATAAAGAAGTTAACCGCTCGCAGATTCTCCACGACAACCATATATGCACAATCTTGAAACTCCATTAAAATCTCCGCGCTTCGTGCTCTGTGCAATTAATTAACGTGGCCGACTGATTAAGTTATTAAGCGCGTGGTTCTTCAGAGCGGCGCGTTAAGTAGTGTTCCATTGGGTTTTACGATTTTCTTGGGCATTAACAACAAATGTGTTCAGTTTGGGCATTACTCTCGCCAGTAATATAAATGCTTGCTTAAAATATTAGCTATACTGCAATGTAACTTTTTTAGTTTAGTGAAGGAAAATAATTAGTCTCATCCAAAAACGTTGCTTTATTAGATGACTATATTTTATTAAAATAAAAATAAAACAGCCAAAAGAATCGCCCGAGCAGGGACTTGAACCCTGGACCCTTGGATTAAAAGTCCAATGCTCTACCGACTGAGCTACCCGGGCTTGTTAACAATTGTTGTTAGAATAGAATAAAACGTGATATTTATTATTACAAAAGTTTAAACGAGAATATTCACATTTGTATTCCATGTAAGCAAAATGGCTAACCGGAAGTGCCATGTCCTTGTCATTCCGAATAGCGCAATACGTATAACATATAATCGTTACTGCTTGAAAGTATATCAAACATTACAACAACTCTGAAAGAATTAACGACGTTAGCATGGTGCATGTAAAAGTGCTGCAAGCGGGCGGCGCGATAAGAACTTAGGACGTTAACGAATCAAAATGGCTATCGCGAGCGTTCTTTGGCGGCAACGCCACAATGCCAACGGTTGCATGGCAACGTAATAAACATATAGCATAGCAACAGAAGAGGCGCGCAAGGAAGGTCGGCAAGCGGGGCGCGGCGTTTGGCGTGTATGCGCGCCACGATGCAATTACGGCACATGCACATCGTGCAACTCGACGGGCCCGACCTGCAGAGGCAGCAACTTTATCGCGCGACTCGATAGAATCCATAGTTGCGCGACATGCTAGGCACAACCGCGCCGACGACGGCAGTGCGCCTGCTTTGTGCAATAACGAACGAACGCTTCCTTGCCGTTCTTGCGTCGTCGCTCGTTCGCCGACGTGCGGCGGCACTCCTCGCACACCAGTAGAACAAAATGGCCGCCGCGATCAACAATTTCGAGCAGGCGTCCTGCGGACCTATTACCACACCACCTCCGAACACATTATACTCATCCGATTGGTGAATTTATAATAAAACAGACTAATTTTACCTTCGAAGCAAATTGCGTCCTTGTACCAACTGAAGCAGACATTACGTTTGATTTTTGAAACGTTGTCAGATCACTCAGACCGGAGGTAGTTAAAGCAAACATTAAAACCTCTCTTCACAGAGCACAAACGATATAGAAGAGTCATAAAAACATCTGTAATGTTATACACGAAGCGGCTTGTAGTGCATGCAGTTGTAAATCATATAATGGCTAGGAAACACTCGTCGATACATTTCATCCGCAGTGAACAGCCCACGTCACACCACAGCATTGCACAAAATGTTAATCTCTATACAAGGCTACAACCGCGGTGCCGCAGGGCTTTCTGCTGATATAGACTTTGCAGCAATTGCAACTTACCCACAAGATGGAAGCTCCCTATATGTCGAGCATATAAACGAGCCGCGAAGGAAGCGAACAAAAATAAAACTACCAGTACACAATGCGCAAAAACGCGAGCTGGTTGCAATTTGTAGTATCGCATAAACTATGTTAACATGGCGTTCATATATCATTTTATATTGCGTCCCCAGGCCGGCAGGCATAAACACACGTGGCGTTGCCTCGCCCTGGACATAATGTTCGTTTAATGGTCGCCTCCCTCGTGTGGAGATTACTTTTATTCGTGTATTTTGTGTTTTATTTACAGGGATCTATTTCTACCAACAATACTCGATTGATAGATAGGTACTTCGATAAAATGACGCACTTGCTGTTTTAAGTTACGTTTTACTAGTTTTATACTAGATAAATTCAAATTAAACAACAAAAAAATTCAAAAAATGATTTTTAGTAAATAATATCTCTATGACAATGGATTTGTAATTACTGTGGCCTTTGTAAATTATTTTCTAACAGCACATTTTACACGAATGCTTCAATGTGCTGTCAACAAGAAAAAATATAAACCAATCAGAGCGGCGTATTGTTGAATAAATAGCAAGTTTCCACTCCCAGCGATGTTACATGCCACAACGTGGTTGCATTTTATGTCGGTTTCCACGATTGGTCAATTAGCAATTCATTATTCATGTGACTGCCATTATTGCGTGCATGTTCCAGGCTCTAAAACGCCAACAAACATGTCCGTTGCGACAAGTGAACATGTGAGCCAATTTATGCATTGAAGAATTTATGAAGTTTATACGAAAACCACCAAACGAAATTAAGTCATCAACGTCAGACACAGCTTAACAAGAGAGTTAATATTTTCGTTAGGCGTTTAGCGTCGACAGAGGTGATAATCACATAATTGAAGCAATTTCCGATTTAAACATATAATTATTTTACTTTTGGACATATTTAGACTCATTTAGCGATAGATTCATTGTTTTCTAAATTTTGTTCAATTTTATTCTATTTTATAGTAGAAAATGGCACACCGAACGACGTCTACGTGACGGCGAAAATATAAAATAGCCACAATAAAACAGCAAAATTTTTCTCGTAACGAAACGAAGAAAAATTACAAATATAAAGCACTGGGACTAGAGTACACTCGCTTAAAATTAAGTACTAGTATAAAGAATCGTTAAAAACAGTTATAAATGTGATACGTGCACAAAATACAACATGATGATTAAAATAATAGCAGTTGGCATCATGATAAAACGTAAAACTACGTAGAAATACTAATAAAGTGTTCAAATTAACCTAATTTTACAATAATTTAGACAATTATTTCTAGTTAATAGAACCAAACATATATTCAGCAAATATTCACATCGTATGTTTATTTCTTTAGTTTAAATGAATAAACAATAAAATCTTCGAATAGAAAAAAAAGTAATAATTCTCGCTAATAAAATTACTTCGCCTCTTTTTGCACCGTCGTACGATTGTTATTATTTAGCACATGTTACAAACGTATGTAACACAAAAAAACCACAACGTTCCGAGCTTCGATTTTCCGTATTTAAATCTCTTTAAGAGCTCATATACATGACGAGAGCGGGTGTATAATAGGCAATGGCCAAGCGTGGAGTGGTTCGCGCCGGGGCCGAAACTAGTAATTAATAAAAGATAGTAAAAATTTTTATGATGTCGGTAATGACGGTGCACCGCAAAACTGCCAACAGCCACGGCTGGCCGCGGCCATACAATAAGCACCGCACGGGGCGAACAACAACACTGCATTGCATTCGGCCATATTGCCACGGCAGCGGCGCGTAGTTAATTTGTATAATTACGCTCGACTAAAAATGTTTACGAGCTATAAACTATGACGGAATAAATAATATGTTTCGCGATGGCTAGGTGCGCAAACAACGGATATGCCCTATACAAGCATACACATTGAAACAGCTCTTTCAATTCTTTTGTGTTGTTGAATTGTATGTTTTGTAATTTTGAACATTTTTTTAGTTTTTGTGGTATTTTGGTGGCCTATGCTAAAAAGAAGAAAATGGCGGCAGCGGCGTTGTTTATGAATATATAGCTGGCTCTTCATTCGCGCCTCGTTAATGTTTAATAAGCGCAATGTGTCGCTTAAAATATGCTCAATGTTGTTCATTCGTCGGCG